CAAGATTGTTTTTGGGACGGCTCATTAAAATCAGAGGACAAACGGCGTATCCTACAGAGGGACCACGTTTTGTTTCATCCCGGAGAAGGCCACACGCCACCCTTATCTCTCAACAAAGGCTTTCGTGACGGTGTCCCACCTCGCGTCGAGAATAGCTCAAGCGCTTAAGATGTCGAATTGGGACGACGAAGACTGGGAGGCCGACTCCGGGCCATCTCCCGCCCCTAGCTTACCAGTACCAGCAGCAGGGGGAATGGGAAATTGGGACGACGAGGATTTGCCTGAAGAAGAAGAGGATATAAGTCTTAAAAAACCATCCGCTCCCATGAAGCCCTCCAAAGCGCGTGCGTTGGCACTGAAGAAGAAAGAGGAAGAAGAACAACGCCTGGCCACGGCACGCGCCATTGCACGCGAAAAGGAGATGGAAGAACTCTCAGCTGTTGAGAGAAAGATGCGCCAGCAGAAACTGGTGGAGCAGGCAGATCTCGAGAATGTCAAGGATTTATTCATGGAGGGCAGCTCGAACGGTGGGATGAGACCACCGGCCGAACCGACGATTGACACCTTTAAACCGGTGACGGAGGAAGATTATAACAAGTATGCTGCCATGATCAGCGAACATTGCGTAAAGTTGAGCAACATCAACAGTCCTACCAAAAAGAAGCAGATGGGGTTGTATGTGAGTTTTGTGAAGCAACTCATGCGTGGCCTAGCACAGGAATTGTCTCAGGAAGATACAAAGGATTTGTCGACTTTCATGGGTCTTCTCTCCAACGAGAAGAGAGATCAGTTCAAAAAATCCAAGGGTTACAAGAAGAAGACCAGCAAGAAGACACACGTACGGGTGGATAGGGAAGATGATATGCGCGGAGATGTCTTCGATGACTTCGCAGATGATTTCATGTGAGCGCTGGGCTTCCACGTATGCAAGCGCCTCATCGCATCCTCGAAGTGTCACCTTTACACGTCTTGAGAGGCAATGGGGAGTAGTTTTAGGAAACGGCACCGGCCATGGGGCACTTTACCGAGTGCAAATCAAAACGAACAGGACAATGCATGTTTAGTACCTTTTCATTTCTTTTCGAGCAACACCGTATCTTTGTATCAGTTCTTCATCGAGCTATCACTTTGAACTAAGCGTAGCCTCCCTCACCGCTAACAAGGGCGCAAGCGTCCTATTCGGCGAGAATCTTCTGATTGCTCTTCGTTAGGAGGAAGTGTTTCGCTATTTGCGGTCTTCACATCTATGGGAGATCTTAGAAACATGAAACACAATGGCTTTTGTTGGACTCCATGTCTTCATCGCTAATCTCAGCGTCATAGTGTAGACCGCTACTAGCCTCTATAGGGACACCAAGATTGGGAGCTACCCACCACTGAGCAGTGACTGTCGGACAATCCCGCTGGCTCGCCTCATCCGCTCCAATGACTAGTGTTTCCTAGCGTGAACGTAAATGCCCGCCTCGCCACACTTGCTCGCCACAGTGGTGCAAGATTAATCAGCCCGCGCGACATCCAGCACACGAGGGCTACGGTGGCGGGATAGTCAATACTTTCATCTCATCAACGACGCCCGTGGCGAGCATGATCCGCAGTGCAAACTCGCGTGAAAGTTAGGATAATTTACGACAATCCTGTGGTACAGTAGGATCTTGTTCTGTTCCTTAGTGAGCAATGCCAGCGAATTCCATCAGCGTGAGAGCGACAAACGCAAAACTAAAATCATCGCCTGGATCCTTTGATCCGCTTCGATGGCCGCTGCTCGCCGCGAGAGCCACCTCCCTGTCCGGAACCCAACGCAGATGCGGACCCGCTGCCTCCATAGCTCCTCTTCCTATTCCTCCCTCCGCGTTTCCTCGACCTCCTCCCCCCCGAGCTCTTTTCCACCTCTCTATCAATCGGGCCATCGTCGTCGCCGGCGCGCATATCCGGTCTCGAATCCTCCCTCCACCCGTCATCCTCGTCCGGCCTGAGCACGTCAACGTGCTCAGCGTGGCGTCTGCGCCTCGACCCGC